CCTTCGAATCAGAAAAAGTTGGGGAACTAAACCCCTAACTCGCCGAGTCCCATGAATGACTCATCGAGTCAACTAATGTCCATGCCCATAACTCGATTTCTGATGTGCTAATCTCATCCAAAGGGTAGATCTGGGCTCCTAAGGTCGATATAACACGTAAAGTCATGAATTTTACATCCATGCATGGGACTTATAAGCTCAAAAGACCAAAAATAGGGTTTATTACATGCATGGGGTTCTCATGGCCATAAAGCTGGCACCTTTATGCCATGATAACCCTCCAAGGTTCCAATCCGAAGCATTTACCCTATATTACACTCTACAATCTGGAATGGCTTGGAAATGCCCCCAAAGATGACAAGATTCAAGCCTCAAAGTACATCTAACAATTAAGGAGTCAAGGTAGAAGCTCTTTACCTCAAATAACTGGAAGTGCAACCATAACTCTGGATCCACTGACTTGCTTCTTGATTCACTAAGTGTTCCCTTTCTTCTTCTAACTTCAAATCCCATGGGAAGGCACAAATTGATCAAGAATGCTCACAATTGATTAGGGTTTCGAGGAGAGAGCTTGAAGGCGATGGAGGCTGGGGTAGAAGCCTCATAAGATGTTTAAATAGGGTGCAAACCCTCCAATTTAGGGTTTCACTCAGACAGCTCCTACTCGCCGAGTCGGTCTTCCGAGTCGTCAAGTAGGTCACTTAGTCCCCCGAACTGGAGTCGATCCTACTCGACGAGTTGGGCCTCCAACTTGCCGAGTCCAAGGGTAAAATATGAAGTTTGGCTTGAATTTAAATACGTACCTGAGACCGGATGTTACAACTAAGCAGGTGCATTTCATGATTATATTTACATTTCCAATCAAATGATTTATCGTATCATGGATTCTAGACAAGTCTACAAACGAGTGGAATCACAAGTGCTGTGATTTTTAAGTTTACTTAGTTTTAAGATCGAATTCATGGGATAAGATACAACATCAATATGTACAATATCATGCAGCTTTTGCAGACACATGACCATAATATACCTTGAGGTAAATGTTTATGCTGATAAATATACCTCTCATACACAGTCATATCTTTTTGCAGAGAGGTGTTGATAGCTAACCACAGTAAGCATAGCATTGACCATGTTTTAGCGAAGTTACCTCTCCGAAACGCTCTTCATATACGTTATGGCCAAAGATGGTTGTAGTCTTTGATAATTTTGCAACTTTAATTTCATTTAACTTTTTGGGGAAAATGGCTCAGGAGGGTAACCAACTATTGCGTTTCTTCTCATTTGGCCCCTTTTCTTTTTCTGTACTCAATATACCATCGAACCTGTTGTTTATGTTCACCATAACCCTTTGACCAACTATCATAGGTCAAAAGTCGGTCAAAAGGGTTATGGTGAACAGAAACAACAGGTTCGATGGTATATTGAGTACAAAAAAAGAAAGGGACCAAATGAAAACAAACGCAATAGTTAGTTACCCTCAAGAGTCATTTTCCCAAAAAACTATTGATGTCACATAAGTACATAAATATTCTCTCCAAAGCACTTAAGGTGTTTGTCATTAGAAAATAATTATTAGGGTCAATTTCTACTGAATTGAGTTTGTAACTGGGTCAAGAGACGTTTCTCATAAACTCATTCCAAAACATGATGAGTGATTTTTTCTTATTAATTTATTAAAACGATTTACCACACAAAACAGGAATAAAAATGAAATTCACCTCTTCTTAATCTACATAAATTTGTGTTTCGTTTGAAATTTCAAAAACACGCTTCAATTTTAAAGATTTATAAGAATGATTAAACGTCAACAAAAACCAATTTATTTTTCTTTGGACGACAAAAAAAATCCAAAGAAATTAATTTTTTTCAGTGTTGATGTTCCCTTTGTTTTTTATATGAACAGTCAATACAAGATCGTAAAAGAAAAAAAGTGAGGCGAAATCAACGAGTTATCAATACAAACTAGCTCATGTGGATTATGAGGTGTCTTTGAGCAAAATGCTGATAACATGTTGTACGACAAACTAGTTCAACTCAACTCAACTCAACGATTCAACTCAATGATTCATACCAACATTCTCATTGATCATATATATGCTTATATATGCGTTCCCTTCTAGTTTTTTTTAGTGTTTCAAGTGTTCTTTCTAGTATTTACAAGTACATCATAAACCACTATATATATATATATATATATATATATATATATATATATATATATATATATATATATATATTATAAAGCATATTAATCATATCTGGAATTTTAAGAGGTATAAGTTATAAAGATTTTTGTACAAAACAATTATGCATAAATATTATTAATACTTGCCAAAAATTTGAACATTTGAATAAAGGAATGTTATTAAGAAAATTAAGTTGGAGTAAAATGATAATTTTAAAATATTAAATTTATATATATATATATATATATATATATATATATATATATATATATATATATATATATATATAAATTTAAATTTTATAAAACTAGACACTGATATTAATTATGTGCTGTTCAAAAACAAAGACACTGGTATTAATTAATTTATATTATGACCCCGTTTGATATTTGTTGATTGAGAAAGTGATGACTGGAAAGGTCTGTCTGAGTAACAAATTTTGACTGAATAAGAAACCATGTTGTTTGATTGTATATCTGACTCAATGTGCTGACTGATACAAAATGATTATTTTATCCTGATGCTCTATATAGTGATTGATAATAATAATAATAATAATAATAATAATAATAATAATAATAATAATAATAATAGTGTAGACAAAAACTTCTAGCATAATAGACATTAAATATATTATTTTAGGGATTAAAACATAAAAAGCCCTTTAGCTTGCTGGTAAACACCATTTTTTTTATAAGGGAGACCCGAGTTCGATTCTTGTAACGTCACTTTCACCTAAGGGTAAGGGTACTATTGGAACACCTTGCTTCCTTTCTCAGTCACCTTGCTTCCTTTCTCAGTCAACTACGAATTTTATCCAAGGGCTCTAAGGGTAAGGGTACTATTGGAACACCTTGCTTCCTTTCTCAGTCAACTATGTGCCAACTTCTTTCTCGGCCATACCTTACTTTCAGAGTAAGACGTCTAAATTTTGCATATCAAACACTTTTACCTGACTGAGTCAGCTAAAAATGTCTGGCCTGACTCGACTCGATCAGACGCATATCAAACAAGGCCTAAATGTACAAACATGCAATATAAATATAAGATCTAAACATAAATATTTTATTTAAAAGTGGTAATTTTTTATATAATAACTAATAATAAAATATAATAATTTTTCCCCACAAGAAACTATTCGCCAAAAGAGCAATTATTATCGCTGCTTTGCGTGGGCATCTAATATATATATATATATATATATATATATATATATATATATATATATATATATATATATATATATATATATATATATGTGTGTGTGTGTGTGTGTGTGTGTTTGTGTGTGATACAACTTGTAAACTGTTGTTTAGTATAAGTAACCCCGATTTTCTATATGTGTTATAAAAAAATTGGGGTGTAGCTTATGTTAATTTGGTTAGCATTATACTATGACACACACGTGATATACTAATCGTTCAAGCTTCTACGGTAGCTTCGGGATCCATTTTTTTTGTTAGTGGGAGAGTTAATTAACAATACTTACCCCTTTGTCTGTGGAAGTGTGCATATGCTTGAAAGACTATTTAGACGACATGAAACGAATACAAAGTGTTTCACCACTTGAAGGCGAAGTGTAGATGGTTGAATAAGAAATCAATGAACAAAAAATAATGATGAGGATTTCGGTACCATCTTACCATATAAGAGCTTCAATATGAATCAGAATTACGATACATAGAGGAGTATGACTCACTACTAGAAAACAGCCCTTTAATGACGCACAAACAATGACACTCGCTGATAGAGGACGCGTATTTGTGCGTGCCCTAAAAAATAATGTCAGTTTTGCAAAATTTGAAGGATAGAGGACACGCATTTGTGCGTGCCCTAAAATTAGTGTCAAAAAAGAAAAAAAAAGAAAATGCGGAGGGCGCCTTTCATAAAATGTGTGTCGTCTAAATGTGTCGCTTTATAACATTTTAATGAAACACGCGTTTTTAAGGCGGGATTTCACCCGCCTATTGAATACCAAAATTTAACCCCCCCCCCCTCTTCCAATTAGCAAGGAAAAGCCCTAGCCTTTGTCTTCATAGCAGCATCGCACCACCACCCAACCTCCGATCTCGCACCGCCAAGTGTCTCCGACCATCTTCTCCAACCATTCTTTCATGTCGTACTACACCGATAACAAAACCCCCATCACTATTTTAGGTCACCATTCACCAACAGCCTCACTATTCTGAGACTTTAAATCGAGTGTTCATTTGACCATGAAGTCAAAATTGAATCGAATTTTCATTCGACACAAAGTCATTGATACGGCTGACGACGCCTCCGCCTCTGGTCTCTAGTCGACGACACCAACGAAGCCTCCTCCTCCGGCCGCTTCCGTCTCCCCCTTCTTTCACATTGTTTACAGGTACGATCCATCAGCCATGAGACCACAAATCAACAAGAAAGGTGCGTATAGTTTTAGTTTGTGTTTCTGTCAGGGGATTTTTTATACTCCTCATTTCACCTTTTATTTTCAAGAAAATCATATTCATGAAAATTGTAATTATAGATCGTTAGAAGCATAGGAGTTGTGGCTGTAGGTCTGGATTTAGGGAAAGAAAGGCCGCTGGTTCAAAAGAATGTTCATTCCTTTTAAGCCATCATTACATGACTTCTGTTGGAATTCGTTTCTTGTAGTAAATGTCTGTTGATTTCTTTGTTTACAATTTTAGTTTAAAGAAGTTGTACAAATTTGAGATTAACTGTCTTCAAAGAAAACGATTGAAGAATTCCATACGACTTTTCTATTTAGAGAAACTGTTTTTCATACAACTTTTTCGTTTCTTCAGCAGATATCAAGCTCTTAATCTCATGGCGACAGTAACAATGGCAACAGCAGTTGGTGCAGCTGCTCTGTTATATTATACTTTAAACAAAAAACTACAATCTGGCACAACACCCGATGATGAAGAAGAAAGTGATAGCCTTGTACAAAGTCATGGTCCTTCAGGAGTTGAACGAGTATCCAATAGACTAATACAGGCTCCTGCAACATGGCTGGAAAGCATTTCAACTTTGTCAGAAACTCTTCGATTTACATATTCAGAAACTTTAGGTAAATGGCCAATTGGAGATTTAGCTTTGGGCATCAGCTATTTGTTAAAAAGACAGGTTAGCATGTAACATGATGTCAATTTCACCATGATTTGAGGCTTCATTTGATTGATGGAATCTTATAACCTTGATCTACAAGGGAATTTGCATGTTAGTAGTGTATATGGAGGTGAAGAAAGCCTACAACTTACAGGTCCTGAAATAGTTTCTAAGATTAAATATCTATTGGATTTGTTGACTCTTTATTGGCATTTCACCAAAAAAACATTTCCCATGTTTCTAGAGGAGACAGGCTTTTCACCTGAAGATGTTCTTATTTAGGAACCCAAAGCTGGAGTAAGTATTCTCTCTCTCTCTCTCTCTCTCTCTCTCTCTCTCTCTCTATAAAGCTGGATTAAGGACTGTTTCTTTTTTTTGGTGAGGCTGATTTTCTAATTGACTAAATAACCATTTTACCCTTACTTTCTTATGTCAAAAGATTGGTTGATTTATATCAGATTTTGAACCCGACTTAAACAATACTAATAAACCACAAGACAAAAACATTCCTTCTATGAATTCGTGGGACCCACAACATCAAGGACACTCTAACTGCTGCAACAGGGGCAGTTGTGCCATTTCATCATACAATTGTGCATGAAGGAGGAGTTACTAATTTGGTATTAGGTTTTGCTCATTGTGGAATGTTTGCAACTGCTCGATGGATTGCAAAGCTTGCAACTCCTCTTCTTCTTAAAGCATTCCAAGATTACCCTGATTATAAGCTTCAAGTATCACTTTTTTACTTTTTATCTTTTCTTTTCTTATATTCCAACTTTTAACATATATATTTAAAAAAAGATTTTACATTGGATTCAGATTGTTGGACATTCTTTGGGTGGTGGAACTGCTGCACTTTTAACTTATGTCTTAAGGGAACAGAAAGAACTCTCTACAACTACTTGTGTCACATTTGCTCCAGGTAAATATATCAAGCTATAGCATTCTACTTTATTTATTTAGATTGCTATAATTAAACATTGTTGATATGATAACAACCTTCATCCATCAGAAATATCTTTTGAAGAAGTTGACAAAACAGAAAGCAACGAAATTTAAGTGATTAAAGATGTTGAGGATGAATTTGATGTGGAGACAATGATAAAGAAGCAAGAAACACATGATTTATTCTGTCCAAATTGCAATTCTTGTATCACAAAAAGAGTTATTCTTCGTAAACGGAAACGTAAAATCCCGGTTCCTGGTGAAATTGCAAAGCGTAACAAGCCCAAAACTTCAAATCCTTCAGAAGTGAATCTTGTTTCTGATGATATTCAACCGTTGATATCTAATGAATATGATCATGAGAGGACCAAGAGTACATCCCCACCATATCTACCTACCTATTTCTATCACCCTACAGAACGATTATGGAAACTACTCGGGTAGAACATCGATGGGAGGACCAAGAGTATGACGAATTGGAGGAGAGTTTGATTGATAGAAGAAAGAATCTCAAACAAACGCCAATTTTCACGAGCATCAATGATGATTTCAGCAGCAACAACGGTGGTTCAGTTGGTGTCTTGAATGGAGATCAAAAAAAAGAAGAAGAAGTCAAAGATTTAAGTCAACAAAATGGCATAAAGGTTGATGAAGATGATATAGAGAAAGAGAAACAACAGACTTTAATGTACCTTGTTTATTATGATGCAGATAAAGGTAAAAATGTGAAGATCTGATAGCACAGTAGTTATTAGAAGTTCTTTTTTTAATTCAAGATGCAGAAAATGCACTATACAAATTCACTTTTGACAGTAATCTTATATACCCTTGAAGACCCACCTTTTTGTCTCCCATGTTTTTTTTTCTTTCTAACAAGACCCTACCTTTCTCTTTCTTCATATTCAGATTCTTCAGTTTTAAGGTGATTCTAGGGTTTCTTTTCTCTTAAATTTATCTCTCTTTTCTTTGTGCTTCCATTCCTTGAGAAGTTTAACTGATTTCTGGGTATTGGATTATAGTCTGAACATTTTTTTTCTATATCCTATTTAGTAGTGACCGGATTAAGTAATATAATTATACAACTTTAATGTTATTTATAACTCTGTAAGTGGAATTGATGTGGTAAAGATTAGGCATTCCATCCAGCCTCTCACCTATCTAGCTTTGAATTCGCAAAAAGCAAAAGGTAACCCACATGTTTAATGGAGATTCTTCTTTTAGATGATTAAGAAATTGCATCTTTTTTTTTCTTTTTCTTTGACTGAAGGAATATGAAATGTTGAATCTGCTCCTGGGATTATGAGGGTAACACTTGTGTCACCAATCATAATCAGAGAATCTGTTTGTTTCATGAAACCAAAGGTATACACCCCTCAATTCACGACAAAGGTCTGAAAGTTGCCATCTTTACAAATAAAAGTTTCCGTAGTAAATTGTGAAGTTTCATTAGAAATTTAGCATAGTTGTTGTGTTAATGGACGTGTATAAAGATTTTAGAATAAGATATTAAATTAAAAACAAGTCTAATTTATTGTATATTTTCAGATACTGGGTTGCGTCTTGAATCATCAAAAGGGGAAGCAAATGGTGTTGATTCGACTTTTCATGGGAAAATCCCCATGAAAGACAACATTAATATAACAATACATAATCAAGAAAACGACTTCAATATAACAATACACAATCAAGAAAACGGGAATGGTCTGGACTTTGTTATCAACAACCAAATTGGTGAACATGAAAAGCAAAATAACTTATCCGATAACAGCCTTCATCCATCAGAAATATCATTTGAAGAAGTTGACAAAACAGAAAGCAGCGAAATTGAAGTGATTAAAGATGTTGAGGATGAATTTGATGTGGAGACAGTGATAAAGAAGCAATAAACACATGATTTATTAGGTGCTTGTATTCTCACTTACAGGTCTACCGGTGATTTCTGATCGTCGTCCACCATGGTCAGCCATGCATCCTACTTTCTTACCCACCCACGCGGTTAATTACCTTTTATGTAAATTTTTAGATAATTAATTAGTTTCCTATGAATTGTGTTTTAACAAGATAATAACCTATAATTTATAATTTAGATATTTATAAAATTAAAGTTTAACTATTTTCAGGTTGGAACAAGAAATAATGGAATGATTAATGGAGGGCGATAGAGTCATTCCGACATTGAAGACGAAACATTTGTTCTCTGGGAAACGGTCAAACGGGAAGACTACTAGACGTTAAAGAGGTAAATTATATTTTTATTTAATTTTTATGTGTTAATTTGTTGTGTTTAGGTTGTAGAAAGTACTGCTTGCTAAAAAAGAGGAGGTACGACAAGATAAAGGTTGGCTAGTTTCTTTGTGTTTTGTATGTAAAATATTATGTTGATTTATGGAATTTTTGTTGTCTTTTGTAGGGAAATCCATCAAGTTCATCAAGGTCAGCTCTTGAATTACGGGTAAACTTCTAATCTTATACAAATACAATGATTTGCTAAATGCTAGAAATAGCAATGCACTTTTATTTATTAGTTTTATTAAAACATCATAGTTTAATTTGTTTCCATTATAGGATTGTATGTTGAATTTATTTGTTATATCTTATGTTGATCTGATCAAATTAGTTAATAATATATTTATATAACAACTCTATCAGGTAGCTAAACTTGATTGTGTGAGTAATAAAAGTTTTTTTTTTTGTTCAGCTAATGTTCAGGTCATTACTTGCCATCCATTCCTAGTGGATATAGGGCATGGGATGCACTTGTTGCAGAAGGTCAGTAATCATGTCGTGTATCTATAACCCAATCGCCGCCATCGATCCAAGTCGACCTCGATCTAGATCAAGGTCACCGAGGGTTGTTAGTTTTATAGGAATGTATAACCCATGTTAGCAATGTATTATTTTTGTTTAACATTTGAATGATTATTTGTATGAAATATTATAATTTGTGGGATTTATTTTATTTTTAGTGTATGAAATTTTATTTTATATTATGAGACATTAAATGTGTGATGTAATTTGAAAATTAGTAAATTTACAATATATATATATATATATATATATATATATATATATATATATATATATATATATATATTAAAACATTTAAACTTTATGACACGCAAAAATGTGTGTCGTCTTTCTTTATGACATGGGCTTTAATGATACGCAATGCAAGTCGTAAATGTGAATCGTTTTACGACACGCGAATGCGTGCCATCTTCTTTATGACAGGGCCTTCCTTGACACGCATTGCGCGTCGAAAATGCGCGTCGTAAGGTTACGACGCGCAAAAGCGTGTCGTCTCTCGTTATGACAGGGCCTCCTTGACGCGCATTTGCACGTCGTCTGAGCGTTTTACGACACGCATTGCGCGTCGTAAAAAACTGTTTTTCTATTAGTGACTATATCGAAACATCAATGACTATGATGATGACCACTACGAACGATAAAAAAAAACCAAAAAAATAAGGAAAAAAAAAACAACAATTAGGAAGGAGATTATATTTTATGTTTTTACGTTGTCTGAAGATGCATAGTTTAATATTTATGTATTTCCATGATAAAAAAACCAATAAAAAGAGAAAATTTGTTCAAGCCTTCATGCCTTCAAAACTTAATATACCTACTATTTTCATTTTTCTTTTACTTTTTGGGCTTTTAGATTAAAGAAAAATCTGAATGGTTTTACTTGTGGAAAAAAAAAACAAAAACAAAACGAGAAGCAATTTTAGAAAAACAAAAAAAGAATTTTTTCTTTTCAAGCTGGTTTCTCACCAAACCGGATGTTTTGGTCGTTTGAACCGGTTTCCAACGGAAGCGGTTTTGACTATCTTGACTTAAACCGAACTGTTTCTTAAAAAAACTGGTTTGCGCACCTCTGAAATCAGATATCAAAAATTCAAAATTTGAAATACAAAATCACAAAAAAAACCGACTCGATCAGTCCATGAATCTGTTTTTCCAAAAATTACTAAACCGGTAAAACCGGTATTGTATTCGGAAAGAACCGAACAAGTCCTTATTTGGATCGGCTCTGGCCAATTTATGAGCTTTAAAGACCTAGTTGGGCCGGACTATTTTTGAAAGGAAATACACCTCCTTCAATCTCTATTGAAAACGTTGAAGATTCTAGTACAAAAATTTCATCCTTTAAAAGTGATATATCAGCTCTCTATAATTTCCTACATAATTTTTATGAGTTTGTACTTCATCATAGGTCATTATCAGTTTTGTCATATTCGACGGGTTTTCGAATATACATGAATGTGTGATAAAGAAATCATCTAGTTTTATTTATTTATTTATTTTTTATTTTTTTGGAGCAACAACTATGCCCAATTGTCTTAAGTTTGTGCGGAAAATTTACCACTTCTCGAGTTCTCGTGGTGAAAAGGATTTGGCATGCTCAAATTACTCGACTTTTAATGGTTGAAGCTACCTGAATCAAGCTCTTATATTCATTGTTTGTGTTTGTTTTGATGTATGAAATGGAGCTGTGAGATTACGTTTTTGACGAACTTTAAACAAAAGTTGAACTTTGATTGATTCTATATGCTCATTTTGTTTTAATTAATGATATAATTACAATTTTAGAGGTAGGATGCTATCATGCTAAGATCAATAATCTGTGTTCTTTTTCTCCTTATAGAAATGGGGATTACTCGTAGCTTTGACATGATTTGTGATAGGGCATATAGTGAAGCAACTATACTTAAATAAACATAATGATCCTTTTTGAAGATTACTCATGGTTAAGCATATCAATCTTATCCCAAATGGGCACTTCAAGAAGCATTGCCAAAACTATATCAAGACATGGACTTCAACCAACTTGCCCACAAAACAAGGAGACAAAATGGTAAATGTTCAACTTGCTAATTAATTAAATGATCTTTTTAAGTTACTCTTGATATTATATATACTAGGTTACAACCCGTGGAATCCACGGGTAACAAAATTAAAAAATATTAAAAATTAAAAAACATAATCATTAATCATAAATTCGGGATCAAAAGATTATTTACAAAGTTAGATGTTTTGACAATAATTTTATAATGATTAATTTCAATTAATTTGTAAAATCGTTTGAAGATATAAATGCCGTTTTTTATTTCTAGATTAATGATAAAATGATGATGTTGTATATTGAAATATATAATTGAATAGTACGTTGCTATTATGAGTATAAAATGAAAAACACTATTTTTATTAGTAGCAAGAAATAGAAGTAAGATGCTATTATCTTTTAAGAAAGATAAGCACTATCTTTTAAGAAAGATAAGTACGTTTTTTTGGATAAAAAAACATGAAATTCAAGATATAGCGATGCGCGGTGGTAGATAGTTTATTTCGGTGATTAGTTTTCTTTCTGCTGACTATTTCAGGATAAAAATAGAAATATGTTACTTTGGGTTACAAATAAATATGTTGCTAGTTTGGGTTAAATTTAAAAGTACATTTTTATTTTAGGCTAAAAACAAAAATACATTGTCGTTTTAGGTTAAAAATATACATATAGTTTTATCTTAAAACATTAATTAAGAGTCCACAAAATAATTTTCAGTTATTGTTTAAACCGAACGGCATTATAGTTAACCATAATATACACAAGGATATTATTATATGCATTTTAAAAAGAATATATATCATAATTTGTTTTTTTAGTTCCGTCGTTTGAATAGTTTTGTTTGAGTGAATGGTTTTCTTTCAGTGATTTGTTATATACGGAAAATGTCATATTCCAAAAAACATAGAATACATCAACAAATATCATTACCATTTACATATATATATGTCGTAAAATGCAATGTTTCAATTTTCCTCTAAGGGTTAAATTGTCGATTAATATCGTAATTTTGAATGAAATTAAAAAGAGTACCATATTAGTGCGTTATGGATTTTTGAGTTATTTTTGGTACGAAACCAAAAGTAAGATAAAATATCGGATGTTTTTTTAAAACCAAACAATTTGTTTTTTGAAACGGTTCAATCACGAATATTTTATTTTTGGTTCAATTTCTTATAACATTCGTTTTAATTTTTTTTCTATATATCATTTTACTTTCAATTTTTTAATTCTTGAAAGCATTGTGTATTAAAAAATCTTGCCAATTACATGCAACTCATCTTTAGAATGGTTCACCTAAAATTTTGGTTTACTATTACCACCTCAAACTTATTATGTAGGTTTAAATATATTTTATTTTATACCTATGTCTCATCGAACGTATCATCATGCATCGCATAATTGATGAATATGTACGTCTTGTTTAACATATTTTAATTTTGCTAACATTTTAATATTATTTGTATTTCGTGTAATTTAGATAACTTACGCAAATGAATGATCATATTTTTATCAAACAACTACGTCCTATATGTAAATTTTGTAAGTACTTTTAACAAAATATCATTACTATCAAAATATAACTATGAAGAAAATGCAGCACCAAGTGATTTAGCCACAGCAAAGCTAAATGGATATAGCCCTAAAAGTTGCATACAACTTCACTATCACCATCATATCATAGCAAACAACTTTGAGCAGCCATAATGAAGAGTAAGCAGCCATCAAAAACGCTATTAAAATCAGCATGAAATTGAGAACCAAAATTATTGCAATTTCAGCAATATAGTATTACCACTCATAACCAAATCTGTTCTACAATCAGCAATGGCATCAAACAAAAGCTTTAGTTGTTGATACAACGACATACTTTGATTAAAATTAGATAAAATAGAAAATCTTACTCGTCAATCGTCATAGAGTCGATGCATATCCACTTCCATTATGAATTTCCACCCATCAATTGAGGAGGATTTGACACCTCAACAAACTTTTGACATTCAATAGATGATTTTCGGTTAACCGCACTCAAGAAACACG